TAGTAATTACAATTACTATTATCCCCACTTGGCAGATGAGGAAACTAAAGAACAGAGAGGTTAAGAAACCTGTCCCAGTCACACAGCCAGAAAGTGGCAGAGCTGGCATTCAAATGCAAGATTCGCTGTGGAGCTTCCATTTGTAACTGCCAATACTACACATACTCAACTTCAAAACTGTAGTGTAAGAGAAAAATAACAACACAAACAGTGCCTAAATATACCTGTAGTCTCACGCTTAATTTGTTAAGCAAAAACATTGTTTTAACGTTTATTCATCTTTGAGAGACAGAGAGAGACAGAGCATGAGTGGGGAAGGGGCAGAGAGAGGGAGACACAGAATCTGAAGCAGGCTCCAGGCTCTGAGCTGTCAGTACAGAGCCTGATGCGGGGCTCGAACTCACAAACTACGAGATCATGATCTGAGCCAAAGTCGGATGCTCAACCGACTGAGCCACCCAGACGCTCCGCAAATTTTTTTATTCTTAGATTATCTTTATATTTTTCTAAGTTTGTTTTACATAAAAACTTAAATAAAAGGGATTCTGTGGCAATGTAAAAACCAAACAACTTTTTTTTTTATCATGCAACAAAAAAGAAAACTGTAAAACAGTAGAGTAATTCATATGAGGCTCAAAAATCAACATATGAAATAGACTTAATTCACTTTCTATTTCCTAGAACAAAGAGAAACATTCAGGAAAAACTTAAAAAGAGCATTAGAAGTCCATTTTAATAATTCTTGTTTTAAAGAGTGTAGAAATCATGGTGAAAGAACATTTCAATCTTAGTACCAAACTAATTAGCTCTATACCCAGATATTTAGAATCTCCCCTTTGATCCCACATACACTAGACAGTGTAAAGATAATGATTTGTTTAAAAGCTTTATGTGTCCCCTTACCTATAAGGATAAACGTCTGAATAAGAGAAATAAAAAGGGGGCAAAGAAAATTTTTTAAAAGAAGGAAAGAAGATGGGTTAAAAAAAAAAAAAAGACCAACCTCCTCTCAGAAAGTATGGCCCATCCACATTAGAGAAAGGATTAAGCAGATACATTCAGCTTTTCTAACAGATTTTCTTTCTCTACGGCTTCAATACCCCTCTCACACTCACAGATAATCACATTAGTTTTGTCATTAAAAGCTCCCTTTTCATAGAATGCACCTAAACCGCTTAAACCACCCAGAGAGGTCGCATACATTATCAAACACCAAGACAAACGGAAGAGATTTTCCATTTTATGTCTTATTATTTCACTACATCTAACTGCATGCTCAGAAGGCCAAGCCAAAAGATTTGGTGAGTTATCAGCTAAAAAATTATTCCAAAATCAATAACCGCTATAGTATCCTTAAAAACTGTTCTTTAAGCTGAGAAGAGACCTAGTAGTTTCTATGCTGACAGAGCAGTCAAATGACAGAGAGGTTTTCTATTTCCCTTTTCTCTTCTTCCTTGTGCTCTCTCAGCCAAGTCCATGATTATTTCTGCATGAATGTTGCAGCTTCTGTTAACAGTAAACAAAAGCAAATGGAGTCTGAGTGTGCAAAGCCCACAAACAAATTAAAAAGAACGATACTTGAGTTGACACGGAAAAGGCATTCAATCACTGCCTCTGGATCTTTCAGAACCATACAGGGTCCAGGCAGAATTGGAAATCACCTACTTTTTTTCATAACCCAACTGTTACACATTATCTCACTATCCTAAGCCTAAGTTACAGACTTAGAAAAGGACGGCTGTTTGTCAGCCTTTTAAAAAGGAGGAAGTGTATCAGAGGGAGGAGGAGTTATGGTTAAATGGAACTATCCAAGTGAAAGAGCGGTCCCCAACTGGGTAGTGTTCCTGGGATTAGTGGGTTGGGAGAACAGAGAGGAGGTCAAGAAAGGAGAAATAGAATGAACAGTGAAAGAAAGTGATCTGAAGCTAAAAGTTTGGGAGGGAGACATGTAGTAGAAAAACTTTGAAATCATATAGGATAAAACTGGAAATAGAGGCAATGGAAAGTTCTCAAGCAGGGGGCAATGAGAGATTTCTTTTGGTTGGGTGCAGGCAAGAAACAGAAACATAAATATATTATAAGCAACCAAGAATTCCTTAATATGCCAAAAGAAAGGATAAAACCAGTAAGAAATGACTGAAGAGAATAACAAGAAGTAGTCCTGGAGAAAAGAAGTAAAACCTGATTGTCGGGCAAAGACACAAATTACCTTGCCTTAAAAATAAACTTTAATAATGCATATATACAGAAGATAAAAGAAGGACTGTGCTAAATCAAAAATAAATGGCAGAATATTTGAGATATACTCTACTAATTTTGAATGAATGAATTTTTAATGAATACTTAGGAGAGAGGAAGGATAGGATATTTATTTACATGTGAGATGCATCAGCAAATTTTTCAAAAGGAACATTAAAGAAATGGGGAGAAAAGCAAAGTTAGTGTTCCTTGTTCCAAATCATAATACAAACGAATACAAAAAAGCTGTATTCCTCTGGCTTTTTTCTAAATCAGGGGTTGGCACATCCCCAGGCCAAATCCAGGGTACTGCTTATTTTATAAATAAAGTATTATTGCATAGTCTTCCTCATTTACTTGTATTTGCCTATGGCTACTCTCCTGCCACACCTGCAGAACAGAGCAACTGTGACAGAGACCAAATGGCCCACAAAACCTAAAATTTTTATTATTAGCTGTTTACAAATAAAGTTTGCCAACTTCTGTTCCAAATACCAAGGGAATTCCCTGTATGTTTTTGATTTATGTATTTATTTTCAGAGAGTGACAGAGTGCAAGCAGGACAGGGGCAGAGTGGGAGACAGCAAGAATCCCAAGCAGGCTCCGCACTGACAGTACAGAGCCCAGCGCGGGGCTTGAACTCATAAACTGTGAGATCATGACCTGAGCCGAAATCAAGAGTTGGACACTCAACTGACTGAGCCACCCAGGCGCCCCATTCCCATATGCTTATCATGTGACAACTCATTTGTTCTTCAAATGGGCATAAAAATGCAAACTTAATTTTCACTTTGTAAACAGACTATAGTTAAATTTGATAGTTGTCACAATGTGGCTAGAGATCCACCCCAAAATCCAGCCAAATCCTCTCCTAATCCAGTGCGATAAGGTAAAAGATCAGAGGCTCTGAACAATGGTAGACCCAAGTTCAAACTGTGCTTTCCCCATTTCTTGACTGAGCTTAAATTTCCACTCCATTGTACCTCTTTTTCCCAGAGTATTTTTGTGGGGATTATATGGGACAGCATATATGAAAGTGTTCTGTAAATAGTAAAATAAGAGAGATAAGGCATTATTAGCACAAAGACATGTATGGAGGCTAACTGGCTCAAATTTAGTTTTTTTCTCATTACTTTGATCCAGGTTTTCTTACCATGAGAGAGATCTGATCTTTTAAATAACTCTGTATTGTCTAAATTCAATTGAATTCAATACAAATTTATCTGGCCTGCTATGTGCAAGACATCCACTTCTCATTCTAGTTTTTAGATGAATAGGATCTCTAATAGCAAATGACCTTGTTCTATTTGGGTTACAAAGTTTTAAGTAAAATGTTCATTTAATAGTTCAAAGGAACTTATGGGACACCTGGGTGGCTCAGTCAGTTAAGCGTCTTGACTTCAGCTCACGGTTCATGAGTTCGAGCCCCACGTCGGGCTCTGGGCTGACAGCTCAGAGCCTGGAGCCTGCTATGGATTCTGTCTCCCTCTCTCTCTGTCCCTCCCCTGCTCACACTCTCTCTCTGTCTCTCTCTCTCTGTCTCTCTCTCTTTCTCTAAAATATAAACATTAAGAAAAAAATTTTTTTAAATAGTTCAAAGGGACTGTTAAGTTCAAAGTGCTTTTGAAAACTGGTTTTCATCTGACCAAGTCTATTTATATTTCCAGCACTCATTCTACCTGTAGAATCAATTATATTCTCTAAACTTAACCATCAAGTTAGCCAAACTTTAATTTTAAAACTAATAAGAATATTCTTTACAAAGAAATGCTTAAAAGAGGATGAATACACAATAAAGAATTTTGTCATGAAAAGAACTTTAAAATTTATGGTGCGATGTATCTTTACAGTTTCCACAGTACTTTCATGTCTAATATTTTATTTGATCCTCAGCACAACCCTATGGAGAATGTAAGTATCATTACCTCACTTTGCAGAGGAAGACAGGGAGGCTCAGGTAGAAGACAGCCTTGCCCAAGATCACACAGCTGGTATATGGTGGTTCTGGATCAAAGATCCAGAGTCAGTACTCCTTCCACTCCACCCTGCTGCATGGGGATCACTCCTTTATGATATGTCGAGCACTTAGAACACATTAGCAGTTGACTGAGTCATAGCACTATGATAGCAGTTGCCTTTTATTAAGCACTAACCATATATGACATAGGTCTATGTGTCTCAGATGTATGACAAAGATGGAGTAAATTGTGCATGCAAAGTGTTCAGCACAGGACTTGGCACACAGTAATCGTTCCATTAGCAGCAACTACCGGTCTTAGCTCTAAATCATACAACTCTATAATCTATACATTTATCTCCTTTATTCAAATCAGAGAAAACTGATGTTTACAAACATTAGGTAAGGTGTCCAAGGTTGAGTAACCAGAAAGTGACAGAAGCCAGAATTTCTGCTCAGGTTGGTCATACTCAGAGCCCCTTTGTCATTGGAAATTCCTCTGATGCTAACAGTCATAGAAAGCACCAGTTTAAAAAACAAAACAAAAAGAGAGAGAAAAGTTCATATTAAAAGTGATGAAGGAGAGGGGCCTGATGGCACAAGTCCCTTAAGCATCTGATTTTTGATTTTGGCTCAGGTCATGATCTCACGGTTCATGAGATCAAGCCCCATGTTGGGCTCAATGCTGACAGCATGGAGCCTGCTTGGGATTCTCTCTCACCCTATCTCTCTGCCCCTCTCCCTTCTCAAAATAAATAAGTAAACTTAAGTAAAAAAAAGTAACGAAAGGATATTTTCCTATTACCTTGATAGGCCAAGCAGGCAAAGGCTGTAAAAAGTTAGACTCGTAAGGGTAGTCCACCATTGCCAGATTTATCCAGGTTTCAGAGATCCAGCCTTTCAAATGCTGAACATCCTGCGAATTTCTTAATGGGGTACATAAGTGAAGGGCTTCAGAAAGCCAATGCAAGCCACTGCCTGAAAACAGAATCACATTGTTGGAATATAAAAAGCACTACTTGACAGAAGGCTTTACTGATCACTTGGTATTTTAGAAAATTCAATCTTCTATACCATTTCTCCAAGTATGCTTTTTCAACATTCAATAAAATATTTTTAAAGCAACTGGAAAATCCCATGATAAACAAGTTGTCTATCTTCATGGGGTGTGCCAGAATTTATTTGAATTATTTCCTGTTTCAAAGATACTTTTGAAATAAGTAAATAAATAAACAAATGGAACATCAGAGAGCAATCAGAATGCATAAACCACAATGAAATAAAACAAACAGAAGTATCTGACAAACATAGTGTTGATCAAAAGACAGCAGATACAAAACATAGTACTATGTTCTTGATTACAGTGGATGATTATTATACTAATATACCATATTGGTTACGTTTCACTCCATGAAAATTCATCAAGTGATGTATTTTGATTTGTGTACTTTTCTGTATGTTATACTTAAAAATAAAAACAAGCAAGTGTTGAATTTAACAAGTGAAAGGTAAAACACTCCATGATTTTATTCTATTAATTAAAGCTTACCTGTTCTTGCGAGTCGAGTAATAGCACCCCAGGAATCGTGGATGGTCTCTGAACAATTTGGGCCACTTTTCCTAAAATCTTCAGTTACGATCTTCATAAATACACCACAAGGTACCAGATTACCAAAATGCCAGATGGGGGCAGAGGCTGCAAGAGCTCTAAATTGGAAGGAAAATAATAAAGGCAAACAGAAAAAAAATGTAACTCATCAAATTCAAGTTTTAAAATTGAAACGGACATTGAACAAAAATGGTGAGAAAAATAACAGCTGTTAATGAGATAAAAACCAGAAATCTCAGTACAACAGAAACAAATATCTAAGTATGCTGTGACAGTATTAAGAAGTGCTCATGTCCAATGAATAGCCACTTCTCCAAAGAAGACATCCAGATGGCCAACCAACACATGAAAAAATGCTCAACATCACTCATCATCAGGGAAATACAAATCAAAACCACAATGAGATACCGCCTCACACCTCTCAGAATGGCTCACATTAACAACTCAGGCAACAACAGATGTTGGCGAGGATGTGGAGAAAAAGGATCTCTTTTGCACTGCTGGTGGGAATGCAAACTGGTGCAGCCACTCTGGAAAACAGTGTGGAGGTTCCTCAAAAAATTAAAAATAGGACTACACTACGACACAGCAATTGTACTACTGGATATTTATCCAAGGGATACAGGTGTGCTGTTTCGAAGGAGCACATGCACCCCCATGTTTATAGCAGCACTATCGACAATAGCCAAAGTATGGAAAGAGCCCAAATGTCCATCGATGGATGAATGGATAAAGATGTGATATATACATACAATGGAGAATTACTCAGCAATCAAAAGGAATGAAATCTTGCCATTTCTAACTATGTGGATGGAACTAGAGCGAAATTAGTCAGAGAAAGACAAATATCATATGACTTCACTCATTTGAGGACTTTAAGATACAAAACAGGTGAACATAAGGGAAGGGAAGCAAAAATACTATAAAAACATGGAGGGGGACAAAACATAAGAGACTCTTAAATGTGGAGAACAAACAGAGGGTTACTGGAGGGTTGTGGGAGGAGGGATGGGCTAAATAGGTAAGAGGCATTAAGGAATCTACTCCTGAAATCATTGTTGTACTACATGCTAACTAAGTTGGATGTAAATTTAAAAATTAAAAAAATAAAAATAAAAAAAGAAGTGCTCATGTTCAACATAAATGCATTTACCCAACCACCATATGAGGGTATTTCATCCTGAACCAGGCTGCAAGCATGCCACCATAAGAGCCCCCTAGGGCAATGACAGGTTGATTTTTAGCTCCTGGGATTGTTCTTTTCAAGTATTTGATTAACACTGCAAAATCTGCCAGAGCTTGTTCTGATGTCAGATAATTCAAGTATCTGGAATCCTAAAGAAAAGTAACAAAGAACAAGTATAAATGTGCACATAATAGCAGCTTAGGCATAGCATAGATCCAGGGAAAAAGCCAGTCAGATAAGTTTTACTCCAAACAGAATTTCTAGGCTATTGAGTTAAAATGCCCAGTCAACGCAATAACAATGCTGATTTAAATAAATCATTAAAAAATTATTTCAAGTTTGTGCGAAGAACATAATGTATTTTGCATTCAAATGTAATTTCTATTAAATGCTATTTACCAAAGACTTTGTTGAGGTTGTAGAAACAATAGAAACAAACTGTAATATTTAATAGTAAATGTGATGGAATACAATTCTCAGCTTAACAGACAACTGCTGTATTACAATTTTTATTACTTTTTTTAAATTTTATTTGTTTTTGAGAGAGACAGACAGAGAGACAGAGCACAAGCAGGGGAGGCACAGAGAGAGAGGGAGACACAGAATCCCAAGCTGGCTCCAGGCTCTGAGCTGTCAGCTCAGAGCCCGAGGCCAGGCTCGAACTCATGAACTGCGAGATCATGATCTGAGCTGAAGTCGGATACTTAGCCAATTGAGCCACCCAAGGTGCCCCTACAATTTTTATTTTAAATTTTTTAACATTTAAAATGGCTACTGGGGCACCTGGGTGGCTCTGTTAAGCATCCGACTTTGGCTCAGGTCATGATCTCATAGTTCATGAGTTCGAGTCCAGCCTCAGGCTCTGGGCTGACAGCTCAGGGCCTGGAGCCTGCTTTAGATTCTGTGTCTCCCTCTCTCTCTCTGCCCCTCCCCTGATTGTATTCTCTCTCTCTCTCTCTCTCTCTCTCTCTCTGTCTCAAAAATAAACATTAAAAATAATTTAAAAAATAAAATGGCTACTATACAGGCAAAGGTAGACTGAATCTTGTGAAAAACTGAAGAATCATCAATAAAAATCAAACTCATCCTTCCTTATCAGAAAGATTATCATTATATCTGCATACCAACAACTGGAAATTACCCTGTTGTAAACAACTATAAAATTGGAGTTACAAAATGCAATACAGCAACTACATCCAGGCATTAGAAAACAGGCAACACAAGACGTTGATCCCTGAGAGAAGGATATTCATAAAGTAAGCCCCATGATCACTGTCTCTCTGCCTAGAGACAATTTCCTCAGTGCAACGTAGTGGGGTAAAGCTCAGAGTCCTGCTAAACTAAGGGAGCTAGTAAAGTGTATGATTGGACTCATAGGTGGAATTTGAGAAACTCAACAAATGAACATAGGGGAAGAGAAGGAAAAACAAGATAAAAACAGAGAAGGAGGCAAACCATAAGAAACTCTTTTAAATACAGAGAACAAACTGAGGGTTGCTGGAGAGGGAGAGGGCGGATGGGTTAAATGGGTGATGGGCATTAAGGAGGGCACTTCTCAGGGTGACCACTGGGTGTCATATGTAAGAGATGAATCACCGGATTCTACTCCTGAAGCCAAGACTACACTGTGTGTTAACTAACTTGAAAATTAAAAAAAAAAAAAAAAAAAAGTATCTCTCCTTTGAAAGAAAAAGTCTTATTCCTCTCTCTTTGAGCTTGGGCTGAGCTTAGTGACTTGGTTCTAATTAATGTGTCAGAAGTGACGTATAACTTCCAATGTTAAGTCACAATAAGCACTGCAGTTTCCACCTTGCTCTCTCTTGAGCCACCCAGGGACCCCAAGATACATACTTTCTGACCTCTTACCTCTTCTTTCATTATCTATCACTAGTTTTTACTTCCAATTTTCTATGTATAGTTGAGTGTCATTTTTTTCTAATCCTTGCATAACATTTGTAATATTAACCCCCATGCTACTGACAAATTCTGTGAGCACATGAAGGGAAAGAAGCGTATCAAAAAGAGCCCTTAGTTCCATTTTGCTAACAAAGTATGAACCATGGGGATCTAGGTGACATTATGTTTCTATCTGCAACAAGCTGACTTCTTCCAATGGTTTCAAGATCTATCAACTCTCCTAATCAGATAATTATGCAGAATAATAAGCTAAAGAATTGAGTTTCCCCCCATAGCCCAACAAATATCAGCAAATAGTTCTGTTCTTCATTCACAACACAAGAAATTTTCATTTATTTTATTTACTTATAATATGAGCTAATAAAACCTCTGAGAATGAAAATTAAAACTCTTTTCAGGGGTGCCTGGCTGGCTCAGTTAGTTAAGCATCTGACTTTAGCTCAGGTCATGACCTCATGGTTTGTGGGTTTGAGCCCCGCGTTGGGCTCTGGGCTGACAGCTCAGAGCCTGGAGCCTGCTTTGGATTCTGTGTCTCCCTCTCTCTCTCTCAAAAATAAACAAACACAAATATACATATATAAACTCCTTTCAAAATAGGCAGCCTAGAAAATTACTGGCCCCAAGTTCTTCTAAAAAGATGGTATATACATACTGGTAGTATGCATAATGATCTTAGGTAATCTTTTTTATTTTAATACTTGTTTTAATGTAATTTAGAAAAAAAAAAACTAGTACATAAAACCCTTGTTAAGATAATGCAAAATTTGAAAAGTTAGTTGTTCAAAGACAAGTATTATGTAAATAATAGCACAGATAGCAAATTCATATACCCAGAATCACAAAGTACATGAGTGACTCAGTTGAGGAAATAGTATCCTTTTTATTGGGTGTACAGTCTGTGGCCAAGGCCAAAACTCCTTGTGAGATTAGGAAAGGTCAGAAGGGAATCCAAGTGGCTATTTGGACTCACTGAGACAGAGATAATTTGTCCTTATTTTATTGAAAAATACCTTTAAAAAAAAAAAAAAGAAAAATACCTTTTTAAACATTTGAGTGCTCATTATACTTTTTCCTGTGGTAGACCCAATATATAATACATTATTAATATAATATATATTATAAGTGTATAATTTATAAAGTAGAATAATTTACTGATATTTCTGAAACAATGAGAAGTTCCCCTCACATTCTCTGCAGCCATATCTTAAGATTTCCCACTGAGTTAAAAAATGATCAACATTAGAAATGATAATATTATAGTTTAAAAAGGGCTTGGAGGCACCTGGGTGGCTCAGTCGGTTAAGCATCCGACTTTAGCTCAGGTCATGATCTCATGGTTCATGAGTTTGAGCCCTGCATCAGGCTCTGTGTGGACTGCTCTGAGCCTGGAGCCTGCTTCAGATTCCGTGTTCCCCTCTTTCTCTGCTTCTCCCCCTCTCGTGCTCTGTCTCTCTCTGTCTCTCAAAAATAAATAACATGTTAAAAAAATAAAAATAAAAATAAATAAAAAGCACCCAATCTGTTCAGCTGCATATAAAAAAGGAAAGATTAAATACAAATTATTGAAATTTCAGGCTATTCAAGCTAAAGCTATCATTTCTTTCTTAAAGTGGAACATGTAATTAGAACATGTAATACTCTAAACTTCAAAAAAAACCTTTTAAACTTAAAATTAAAAACTATACAGGCATACCTCAGAGATATTGCAGGTCTGGTTCCAGACCACTACAATGAAGTTAATATCTTAATAAAGCAAGTCCAATGACTATTTTGGCTTCCTAGTGCATATAAAAGTTATGTTTACACCATACTGTAGTCTATTAAGTGTGAATTAGTATTATTTCCAAAAAGATGTATACACTTTTTTTATTTAAAAAAAAATTTTTTTTAATGTTTTTATTTATTTTTGAGACACAGAGAGACAGAGCATGAGCAGGAGAGGGGCAGAAAGAGAAGGAGACACAGAATCAGAAGCAGGCTCCAGGCTCTGAGCTGTCAGCCCAGAGCCCAATGCAGGGCTCCAACTCACAGACTACGAGATCATGACCTGAGCCAAAGTCGGACACCCAACCGACTGAGCCACCCAGGCACCCCAAAAGATGTATACACTTTAATTTAAAAATACTTCATTGATAAAAAATGCTAACCATCATCTGAGCTTTCAGTGAGTTTTTTTGAGCTTTCATCTTTTTTACCAGTGGAGGGTCTTGCCTAAATGTTGATGGCTGTTGACCAGTCAGGGTGGTGATTGCTGAAGGATGGGTTGGCATTGGCAATGTCTTAAAACAAAACAACAATAAAATTTGCCATATCAATTGACTCTTCCTTTCATGAATGATTTCTTTGTAGCATGTGACGCTGTTCAATAGAATTTTCCCCTCAGAATTTTTTTCAGAATTGGAGTCAATCTTCTCAAACCCTGTAGCTGCTTTAAAGTTTGTTTAATTTTCTACATTCATTGTTGACATTTCAGCAATATTCACAGTATTTTCACCAGCAGCAGTTTCCATCTCAAGAAACCAATTTCTTTGCTCATCCATAAGAAATAACTCCTCATCCATGAGAAACAACTCTTCATCCATTCAAGTTTTATCACAAGATTTCAGCAATTTAGCACATCTTCAAGGTCCACTTCTAATTCTGATTCTCTTATTTCCACGACATCTGCAGTTACCTCCTCCACTGAAGTCTTTCTTGAAACCCTCACAGTCATCCACACGGTTGAAATCAGCTTCTTCCAAACTCCTGTTCATGTTGATATTTTGACCTCTTCCCATGAATCCTGAATATTCTTCATACCATATAGAATGGTGAATCCTTTAGAAGGTTTTCAATTGACTTTGCCAAGATGCATCAGAGAGGAATCACTCTCTGTGGCAGCTATACCTTACAAAATGTTTTTTGTTTGTTTGTTTGTTTGTTTTTTCAGAGAGAGAATGAGCAGAGGAGAGGCACCAGAGGATCCAAAGCAGGCTCCCTGCTAACAGCAGAGAGCCCGATGTGGGGCTCAAACCCAAGAACTGTGAGATCATGACCTGAGCCAAAGTCAGATGCCTAACCAGCTAAGCCACCCAGGTGCCCCACAAATGTATTTCTTAAATAAGATTTGAAAATCAAAGTGACTCCTTGATCCATGAGTTGCAGAATGGATGTTGTGTTAGCAGAAATGAAAATAATATTCATCTCGTCATACATCTCCATCAGAGGTCTTGGGTGACCAGATGCATCGTCAATGAACAATAATATTTTGAAAGGAACTTTTTTCTTCCCGAGCAGTAGGTCTCAACAGTGGTCGTAAAGTATTCAGTGAACCATGTTGTGAACAGATGTATAGTCATCAAGGCTCTGTTCTTTCATTTATAGAGCACACACAGAGTAGATTTAGCATAATTTTTTAGGGCCCTAAGATTTTCAGGATGGTAAATGTGCATTGGCTTTAATTTAAAGTTACCAGTTACATTAGCTCCTAACAAGAGAGTCAGGCTGTCCTGACGACTTCAAGCCAGGCATTGACTTCTCTTTATGAAAGTCCTCAATGGCATCTTCTTTCAATAAAAAGCTGTTTTGTCTATATTGAAAATCTGTTGTTTACTGTAGCCACCTTCATGATTTATCTCAGCTAGATCTTCTGGATAACTTACTGTAGCTTCTACATCAGCACTCTTCTACCCAGACCTCTCAAACTTTCTCCTTACCAGCAGTAAGACTGTTTCACTTTCTTGTCATTTGTATGCTCACTGGAAGAGCATTTTAATTTCCTTCAAGAACTTTTCCTTTGCATTCACAACCTGGTTAAATGTTTGTTACAAGAGGCCTAGCTTCCAGCCTCTCTCAGCTTTCAACATGCCTTGCTCACTATACTTAATCATTTCTAGTTTTTTATTTAAAGTGAGAGACATACAACTCTTCTTTTCATTGGAACACTCAGAGGCCAGCTGGCCTCATTTCAACATTTTTATGTCTCAGGGAATAAGGAGGCCTGAGGAGAGAGACAGAGATGGGGGAATGGCCAGTTGGTGGGACAGTCACAACACACACATTATTTATCAATTAAGTTTGCCATCTTATGTGAGCATCTTCTAGATCACTGATTGCAGATCACCATAATAAATGTAATAATAATGAAAAAGTTTGACATATTACAATAATTACCATAATGCAACACAGAGAAACAAAGTAAGCAAATGCTGTTGGAAAAATGGCACTGATAGACTTGCCCAACACAGGGTTGCTACAAACCTTCAATTTGCAAATAACACATGATCTATGAAGTCCAGTAAAGTGAAGTTCAATAAAACAAGGTATGCCTGTACTTACCTTGAATGAATTGTTACCAAAAGGTAGGGATTCTCCATAGTATCGATGTTCAGCAAATACCAACATAGCTTTCAGTTCCTCAGCCACATCCCACATGAACCCCTAGGGAGAATTTACAAATTCACAGGATAAAAATCATTTTTTATGTTTAACAGTCATTGAACCTTTTGCCAAGTCATATGAGATGAATGTTAAACCAGACCAAAAAGAGCTCTGAGAAGTTGCACAATTTATATTTGTTCTACAGATAAATAACTGTTGTTTCGTTGTTGCATGTTAATCTCATACTATAGTACAGTGAGATAATTAAAAATAAGCCCAAGTCACTCAACCACCTATCATTCCAACTCTCCTTATTCTGACACGGGAGCTGCATAATCAATATTTTGTCAAAAATAGTCTTCAAATTGCACTGTGTATAAAATAGTCTAGGAAAAACTGTAGATATCTAAGTTAGCTGCCTACCCATAAACATTTACAACATAAAAAAAAAAAGAAATACAAATAAGCATACTGGGCTCCCTTGGGTTTTATATTAATCTTATTTTCTCAAAAATAAGTAGTAGCTAACAATAGCTAATAATAATTGAGTACTTACAATGTGTCGGGCTGCTCTAAATACTCCATATATATTACTTCATTTGATTATCACAACAATCTAAGAGATAGGTACTTTTAGTAACCCCATTTTACAGACAAGGGCACTGAGACACAGTAGTTTAAATATCCTGTAACAGTCACACAGCTAGAAAGCGGCAGAGCCAAGATTCAAGCACAGGCTAGCTTCACAGTACAATCATCAAATGCTTTCAGATCTTATTTCCATACTTAATGCTGGTCATTAATCAATCACTGAATTTTTTCTCTTACCTCAAGTGGTGCCCTCAGAATCCTTCTCAACAAAGCACTCTAGACAGCCAACATCAATCGATTAGATTTAAATTTAGCACAGATTAAAAACTATGTGTCATTCCTAGGGCACACTGCTGTTTTTTAATGAACTGCTGCTTCCTAACAAGGGCTAAGAACCTCTTAAAGTTTTTATTCATCTTGATCAATAAATGAACAATTTAAAGAGCTACATGCACGTGACGATGGAGAATTTAACCTGTTATCTGTGATGGTTTCAATAACCTTCACTTTCTCTCTTAACTCCTTGCCCATTTCCTGCCATTTATCTGCAGACCCTGTAACAACCATCTCAAGCATGCCCTCCTCTGCCTGCCCCATTTTGGCATTGCTGATCAGTCCTGCCTCTCAACACCACCGTGCTAGGTATAGATCTCTATTACTACGCTGAAATATTTGTTTATATGTGTCTTACCCTACCAGACTATGAACTTCTTTTTTTTTAAGTTTATTTATTTATTTTGAGAGAGAGAAAGCACGAGCAGGGGAGGAGTAAAGAGAAAGGGAGAGAGAGAATCCCAAGCAGGCTCTGAGACACCAGCCTGGAGCCCGACTAGGGGCTTGACACAAGGCTTGAACTCACAAACCATGATATCATGACCTGAGCTGAAACCAAGAGCTCAACCCAGAGTCACCCAGGTGCCCCCAGACTGTGAGCTTCTTAAGGATAAGGATCATCTATCAAAATAGCCAGGCCTCTGGGGAGCTGAACTCAGGCTTTCAAAGGAAGCAATTTAATTGAACATTGATTGTAGTCAGTAATTTTTGCCTGCATCTATCTCAGGGTGTTTTTATTTTTCAGAAGAGGTCCATGTAATATATTAACAATTTAATAACACTCTGTGCCAGCACTGTCCTAAATTCCTAACTCTTATTTAGTCCTCACAGCAACTGTTATGAACTAGATTATTATCACTACACCCATTTAACAGGTAAAAAAACCAAGGCACAGAAGAAGAGACTGCCCAAAGTCACACAGCATAATGGCAAAACCAGAATTCAATCCTAACCAGTCTGTCACTCTTGACCATTCTGCTACAGTCTCTTAATAAATGAACATCCAGATTATGTGATAGTGCAACCAGGACATTTTAGTATAAAGAGAGGTGTCTAGGGCTGGGAAAGGGCCAGGACCCTTCTAAGGATCTACATCTAGTCACTTCCCTGGAACTGTTCCTACACTGTGTAGCTCTTCCTTTCTGTCACTTCTAAGGTAAGCCTTAAATTATGCTGCCTGTCAGAGCAGTGGAGGCAAGAACATCTGCCTGTCTATAAGAAAGAGGAAAAAGAGCTGGGAAAAATAAATGGACACGAGAAGCTGCCCCATGGCCGTGGCATAAATGGGGCCGTGCCCCATGAGAAAGAGAAAAAGACAAAGCAGCCTCAGTTGTTTCACAGAATAACTAAGCAGGAATCTGATGGAAAATAAATCCTGATTTCACTTGTCACTGATGTAAGAGAAAGAGACATCCTAGGATCTGAATTATTTGATTTCAACTAACATATCTAGACTCAACAGTCTTAAGGAAATATTGAAAAATGAGAAATGCAATAACATTATAATTGGGTCGATATCTTTGCTTTCAATTCAGTTTAGTTCAACAAACATTTACTAAGACCTCTTGAATACCAGGCACCGTGGTGGACATTGGCAATGGAGAAAATGTGACTCAGTCTTCAGTTTAAGGTAATTCACAGACTAGCTTTTTGGTAGAAAATTGACATTTTCTAGTCACAGCACTAGAACATAAAAAAAGGAAAATATCTTCCTTTCAAGTGTCCTTCTAAAGTAAATTTTGTTAATGGATTTAAGTGTTATTATAAAAGACAATAGAATGTATGGTCAGGAAAGCAAGCTAACATCTATACTATTTTTTTACTCACAAATATAAGAAAAATAGTAGAACAGGAAAGCTAAACTAAAATATAGCTACAACTTTACCTCTGTCCATTTCTATTTGACAATCAAACTTGCATTTTGTTTTTCTTATTTGCACTGGCATTGTTTAGATTTTATTCATTCATTTAACAAATATTTATTGAGCACATACTGTATGTCTAGCACAGTTCTTAGACTGAAAATACAATACTAAACAAAAAAACAAAAATTCATGCCCTCATGTTTATATCCTGGAGACCATAATCAAAACAAACAAAAACCAAAAAAATCTATATGCAATAATATTCCTCTTCCCATGTCCCTCATATCCTTATTCACTCTAGAAATAAATTGGGATTAAAAAAAAAAATCTAAGATTCAATTGTCCAAAAATAGTATTTCACTCTTTTCATGAGTAATTCTTTAAACTCTAAAGAGCTTCTTGATTAAGTACAGTAATATTTGTTCATATATACCGCAAAACATTTTCTTCTAGTTTGTCATAATAAAAGGCAAAGTGAGCATAGGAATTTCACAAATTTGCACATACCGTATTATTGCAAAACCAGACAATGTCTCCTTCATTACCAGTGTAGAAAAGTATTGATCCATCATCTTTCTTCCAGTGTTCATCAGCTAGTAAGTACCGCTGTTTAAAAGTTTTATCTGTAGTAAATCCAAAATGATCAACCTATGACAAAAACAAAGCAGACAAATTTCAGAGGAAAGTAAATGAGATCAATAAAAAAGTAATTAAACTTATTCTTTCATTAAAACCGAACTAAGCTACAAAAATATTCACAAAACTTTTTAAACTTCATTTGATTTTAATTACAAGGGCACCTGGGTAGCTTAATAGGTTAAACATCTGACTTTGGCTCATGTCATGATCTCGCAGTACATGAGTTCAAGCCCTGTGTCAGGCTCTGTGCAAACAGCTCGGAGCCTGGAGCCTGCAGCCTGCTTCAGATTCTGTGTCTCCCTCTCTCTCTGCCCCTCCCCTGTTCATGCATTGTTTCTCTCAAAAATAAATAAATGTTAAAAAAAAGTTTTAATTGATTTTAATTGCAGTAGTAATATTGGCACTGTTATTTTGAAGTTACTTTCTTTATATTGTAAAATAAAACAATGTTAGGGGTGCCTGGCTGGCTCTGCTGGTAGACAGCATGTGACTCTTAATCCCAGGGTTGTGAGTTCAAGACCCACGCTGGGTGTGGAGCCTATCTAAACACAACAACAACAATAAAACAATGTTATTGGTACTCAAGATTCTCAGTGATAAGATAACAGAAAAGATAAAAGATAACAATTATAAAATCAAGGAGTTACTTAAAAACACAGTATGGTAAAACTGAAGTGGAAATAGGATATGAATTCATTAAATTTTTAAAATACAGATATCCCTTATGTTTTGAATTTTCATTATCCAAACTTTCAATATCAAAATTCATGGATTAAACAGACCACTGAAAAGGTCTATAAACACTGTCACCCCAGTAACAACTGACATTCCAAGAACTAGGATTTTGGTGTTTAATACCATTCCACACTAAAAGGAACTAGGGCTTGTCAGTGAAGTGGCTGACTAACATTTTGGGACAAGGAAGCTAAATGATAAACCTATACATCTTGCTGTGCATGGAAGGAAGGAAGTGCTCAAAAATTAATGCAGCGATGTCTAACAGATATAGGAACCAACTACAAGGGACTATATTATTGGCTTGTTTTAACAAACTGAACATAAAACAAGTTGAACATATAAAGAATAATGATTGTAGCTGATTGAAGCATTCAATTCACAAAAATCTACTAGTTCAGATGGATATCAAAAAGGAAACAAATATATATGGTCATATGCCACCATTTAAGGTATTTATTAAACCAACTCCTAATTTAGAAATTGGGAATACAAAAAAGAACTCAATATTTAACCTGAGTTTCCAATAGAATTGTGTTTCAAGGTACCAAATAGTCCCAGTTAATGAAAAAGACCTCTGTTTAATTAAATGTCAGCTAATGCAGAAGGAATGACAGAATTAGAAAAATGACAGTTTTGCAAACCCTTATGAAGTTACTGATTCAGGCAAGAATTACCACATGGTGTTAAAAACATTAGGAGAATAAATGACAGGGAAATGAAGATTCATCTTAGTGCCAGAGTAATATCATGGAGAGTGCTCTCTTGTCACCAAGGCAAAATGGAACTTTACAATGGAAGAATCAGGCTGCCATCACCTCAATCTAGTGATGAAAATTAGCATCACTAACAGTGGGGCAGGCATAGATTATGCACCTCCTCACGTGGTACAACACAAAGCAAACTTCACCTATGATAAAATCGTGCCCAAAATGTTCAACTTGTATCTTTTTCCACCCTTTAGATCTAATTTCTTATGGATCTAATTTCCTGTTTCCAGGAAATACACAGTGTAGAACAACAAGCGAAAGGCACTCTGAATAAGCAGTTGGACAAATCCAAATGTGCGATAAGACAATGGTAAGGCAATGTCATGATAAATAAATTAGATTAAACAAAATTTAAGGAACAAAATAACCAGATGCAATGCATGATTCCAGATTGTATCCTAGTTTGAACAAATGATACAAATGATAATTAGGACAATTAGGTTAATGTGAATATGGACTAGGTATTAGAAGAATCTAATAACTTGTTAATTTTGTTAGGGGTGATCATATTGTGGCTGCATAAGTAAATGTTTTTACTTTTTACACCTGTATATTGAAGGATTTAGAGATAGAATGTCATGCTGTCTGCAATTTACTTGAAAATATTTCAACGCAAAAAAGTAAGATGAATTTAAAGGAAGAAATTTTAATCTATACTGAAAGAGACAAAATACACAGTGAGACTTTAAAACGTGTATAAAACGTGTCAAAAATGATAAAAATGACATAATAATTTCAAGCTTAAAATGAACTTTAGGGGCGCCTGGGTGGCTCAGTCGGCTCAGGTCATGATCTCACGGTTCATGAATTCAAGCCCTGCATTGGGCTCTGTGCTGACAGCACAGCCTGGAGCCTGCTTCAGGTTCTGTGTATCTCTCTCTCTCTATTCTTCCCCCACGTGCACGCTCTCTTTCTCTCAAACATAAATAAACATTAAAAAAAATGAACTTTAGGGGGTGCCTGAGTGGCTCAGTCGGTTGAGCTCCTGACTTCAGCTCAGGTCATGATCTCACAATTTGTGGCTTCGAGCCCCGCATCAGGCTCTGTGCTGACAGCTCAGAGCCTGGAGCCTGCTTCAGATTCTGTGTCTCCCTCTCTCTCTGCCCCTCCCCTGCTTGCACTCTCTCTCTCTCTCTCTCTCTCTCTCTCTCAAAAATAAATAAAACTTTTTAAAAACAGGTTTTTTTTAAATGAACTTTAAATTTTGGGGATTTTTTTAACCTTTCACTTAATAAACTCACCATTTAAAATATAATTATCAAATCCTACAACATGGCAAGATTCATGCGCAATCTACCTGAATTTACAGTGTTATCCCACAGTACAGACGCCCACTGAGCCTTTAGGATCATAGGGCCAGAGGCAACTGGGTAGCTCAGTGGGTTAAGCATTCGACTTTTGATTTGGGCTCAGGTCATGATCTCACGATTCATGAGTTCGAGCCCTATGGGCTCTGTGCTGACAGTGTGGAGCTGGCTCGGGATTCTCAATCTCTCCCTCTCTGCCCCTCCTCCATGCACATGTACTCTCTCTCTCTCTCTAAATAAATTAATTAACTTTTAAAAAAAGGATCACGGAGATGAATTTCTCTAGTACTTGGGAGACACAGAAGTGAAAATGCTGCATCTGGTCTGAGGCAGACCCAGTGATCCAGAGCTGCTCCAGCCTGTCCAGCCTAAACCAGGCTCTCCAAGACTTCCGTAGGCCATTCTAAAACAGATGGGACTCCATAACCCAGCTCCATCTACACACACATACCTACTTCACATTCATACCAGAGGTCCCAAAAGGCAAGTTTCTCAAAACTGCACTAAATTGCATACCTCCTGATGTCCATGATCATTGCTATATATAGTCCTAATACATAAGCTATTCTAATCTAAAGATGGCCTCCCTCAGGAAAATAAACAGTTTGTATAGAACAGGTTTATAATAATGATGTCCATGTGCTAAAAACCAGTAGCATTATATATGTTAATTCAACATATATAATCAATCACTCATTCAACCAGCATCTATTGAATGGCCAAGTTCTCGTTCTGGACCAAGAAGTAAGTTAAGCAATGGGATAAAGTGTTGGCTAAGCCACAACCCCTACATTTAATTTAAACTAGGGGCGCCTGGATGGCTCAGTCGGTTAAGTGTCCGACTTCGGCTCAGGTCATGAGCTCACAACCTGTGGGTTCAAGCCCTGCATCGGGTTCTATGCTGACAGCACAGCCTGGAGCCTGCTTCAGATTCTGTGTCTCCCTCTCTCTCCCCCTCCTCCTCTCAAAAATAAATAAACATTAAGAAAATTAAAGACAAATAAACTAATTCAACTATACCCACTCAGCCTAAAAATAAAAGAGAGCAAGAGAAACAGACAATGGAGGGAAGATAGACAAGTGATTCCACTTGCCTCCATTCAGTAAGTATAGCGCTCCTCCATGTGAGGTCCCTACAAGTCAGCATCAGCATCACCTGGGAATCTGTTAAAAATGCAAATGCTCTGGCTAAATCCCAGAACTACTGAATCAGAAATTGTGGATGGTAGAACCCAGTAGTCTGTGTTTTAACAAGCCCTCCAAGTGATTCAGGTGTACAGCTGAAGTTTTAACAATGACTAAGTTAGCCTAAGCCACAAAATGGAACATGAATCTGCTATTCCTTCTCTTGATCTAGGTTTCAGAATACCTCTAATACTATAAACATCTCACCATTCTGAATGAGATTCTGGTGTTTAAAGATGTGCATTACCACCCAACATGGTCCCCAAATACAAGCCAACTTCATCATTTGAAGCTCAAAAGGAAAAACCATCATCTGTTTCACCAAAAAAGAAAAGACTGGCTGTGCTGGACTTAAAGAAAGTAGGTACATGTCTCTCTAACAAGACACCTTACCATGGGATTCTCAAAGATTATTCTGCTTCTTGTAAAATGAGATATTGTTGTACCCTTAAAAAGTAGCCCACAAAAAACCGTATTTCAATAATCCAGTCTAAAGGTTTGAAATTTGAAACCATGTAGAATTACAAGGGCCACAAAAACTTTAGAACCAGAGAAAGCCAACTTCCATGTGTGACCACTGTCTGGCCACTACTGCTGTGAGCAATTCATCCCTAACTATTTAGATTAGGAAGAGAAGGGAAGAACTCAGGTAGAGAAAGCAGGTTTGCAAATTAATAGACCTAAACTTGAATCTCTACTGTGAGGCCTCAGGCAAGTCACTTAACCTTTCTGAGCCCAGTATCTTCCTATATAAAATAAGGATAACACAATTTAAAGGATTGCTGGAGTGCCTGGGTAGCTCAGTCAGTTAAGTGTCCAACTTTGGCTTATGTCATAATCTCACGGTTCATGGATCCGAGCCTTTGTTTTGGGCACTGTGCTGACAGCTCAGAGCCTGGAGCCTGCTTCGAGTTCTGTGTCTCCCTCTCTCACTGTTCCTCCCCCCGTTCACACTCTGTCTCCCTCTCAAATAAAGATTTAAAAAAAAGTTATTTTAGGGGCACCTGGGTGG